CTGTCCTGGACCAAATAGTAAGAAAAATGACCCATTACCTTAAGTCATTGTTAATCTTTGGTTTCCCTGCGTTACAAGTGTCAGTGAAGAGATACAGTTTGCCAAAGGGTGGCATTATGGAGAGACTGCTGGGATGTGTCTGGATGTAAAGGTTGAGCACATTAAGGAATTAAAAGCTCTGGTATAGCTGTCCTGGAAAAACATAGAATGTCTGATTTGTCTGTCCGAATGTAGCTTGGAAAAAATGATCAATAGTTCTGGAGAATGTTCCATCACTCATAGAATACTGACAGTATCTAGCTGACTTAGTGATCCAATAAAGGTTATTATTGTGACATTGACACTGGTAAAGGTATGAAAAGGGCCAAGGGGCCCAACTCAGGTTAAGAAAACCAATTATAATAAACACGGGAAACACAAGAAAAAACATGTACCCTCTCAAACTGAAGATAATGCTACGGCTTCTGGAGGCATTTATGTTATTCAGCTTATAAAACACAAGTGGAGAAGAACCTTTGGCAAATGGGGAAAACTAATGGTAAAAGAATCTCACAACGTGACAATAGAATAGTACGGTACTGTAGCCAAAGCTAGAGAGGTTGTAATAACCAGGGTAAGTAAAAAAAAAAATTATTGTATAGGTGAAAATGTATAAAGTGAAAGTTTTTGAGTTCAGTAAAAGTCTGAAAGTAACATGTGAACTTTGCTACAATTACAAAGGGTCAGTCCGATGAGGCCTAAACTTAACATAGATAGACCCTTCAAGGCTGTGGTTCAGGGCATAACTATAGACATTGTACCTGTCATTAAAGTTGTATCCAGTCACTAAAATACCAGAACTGGGGTTCGTCATCATACGTAATGTTTAATGGGATAAAATAAGGAGTTCTTAAAAAAAACATAAGAAGTTCACATCATACAATAATCAACCACAACAATAAAACCACTGTCAGGTGAAGTGAATAACATTGATCATATCGATACAATGATACGGGTCAAGGGGTGGGATATATTAGGCAGCAAGTGAATTGTCAGTTCTTGGAATGTTATGTGTTGGAATCAGGAAAAATTGGTAAGCGAAAAGATCTGAGTGACTTTCACAAAGGTCGAATAGTGATGGTTAGATGACTGGGTCACAGCATCTCCATAACAGCAAGTCTTGTGAGGCGTTCCCCTATGCAGTGGTTAGTACCTACCAAAAGTGGTACATGGAAGAAAAACTGGTGAACTGGAGTCAGGGTCATGGGCACCCAAGGCTTATTGATGCACTTGGGGAGCAAAGGCTGGTACACAGAAGAGCTACGGTAGCTGAAATTGCTGAAAAACCTAATGCTGGCCGTGATGGAAAGATGTCAGAAGACACAGTACATCGCAATTTGCAGCATATGTGGCTGGGTAGCTGCAGACCATGCCCATGATGAACCCTGTCCACCACCAAAAGCGTCTTCAATGGGGACATGAGCGTCAGAACTGAATCATAGAGCAATGGAAAAAGGCCGCCTGGTATGATGAATCACATTTCTTTTAGATCAGGGGGATGGATCAAGTGCATATGCATAATTTACCAGTGGAAGAGATAACAGCAGGATGCACTGTGGGAATAAGGCAGGCCAGTGGAGGCAGTGTTATGCTCTAGGCAAGGTTCTGATGGAAAACCTTGGGTTCTGGCATTCATGTGGATATTTCTTTGACATGTAACACCTACCTAGAGATTGTTTCAGACCATATACTCCCATTCATGGCATACTTTGGCCTCCAAATTCCCCAAATCCCAATTCAGTTGAGCATCTGTGGGATGTGCTAGTACAACCAATCCATGGAGGTCCCACCTGGCAACTTGTAGGACTTAAAGGATCTGCTGCTAATTTCTTGGTGCCAGATACCACAGGACATGTTCAGAGATCTTCTGGAGTCCATGCCTCAACGAATCAGAGCTGTTTTGGCAATATGAGGAAACCTACACGCTATTAGGAAGGTGTTTTTAATGTTGTAACTGATCAGTGTATTTGAGAAGATACACCATAGTCAATGAATAGAGGAGAGGAGAGGGAAATTATAGATGCACCTTAAGTTAGAAAGGTAAAAAAATATATATATTACAATACTATATTGAGAGCCATCTTTCCCACAAGTAGGACTGTCTATGTCTAATCACAGGAACTATTACCCTACTAACACTGCGAAGCTAATGACCAACATGTAGTTAACGTCTGAAAACTCGATAATATATGTAAGTGATGTAATGAAATTACAATACAATCCCTGACCTTGAGTCCTGCATTTAGACAAATGACCAAACACCACATGTTAAAGAAATGGACTAAGCAACACTATGTAAATTCCAATGAGATTGACCCTAACTGGGAGTTGTCATTAGACAGGTACAGACAGTATATATATATATACATACTGATCCCTGTGACTCTTCCCACCTAATAAATATACGCACAGTATAATATAGTGATCTCACTTCTGTTCATTTAACATTCCTTTAGGAACCATCAACTTGTGGGATCTACAGTTGTGGGATCTACAGTTTAAAGTATACAATAGTTGGAACTGGTGAAATACGGAGCTACGATCACCTGTGTGGATCACTCAACACACAACAACAAAGTGCAACAATGTAAAATGATAAAATAGTGAGAGCACTCAATAAGTTAAAAAGTTACCACAAATATATATGGATACAATCCTAAAAAGTAGAAATAGAGACCAGAGGGTAATCCAGTTTACACATATATTAAAACCACACATTACTGGTCCAACTCACATGTTTCTGAGCCACTTAGAAAAAGTTGTCTCAGACTAGAAGTAAAGAGCGGAGAATACAGAAAGTGCAGTGGGTTCCTGTTATAGTCAGGATATCTCCCGGCCGTGTCATCAATGGTTACCTTCAAAAATCCAGGATGCAGGATCAAGGTAAAAAGTACAGTTTATTAATTATAACATAAAGATGTACAAATATATAAAAACAAGGTAAGTCCAGTGATTGCTTGCCACTTGACCCGTTTCAGCATAGAGCCTTTCTCAAAAGTGGTAGTTCTGTTCTCCTCCGCGATTCTGTTTATAAATGGAAATTTTGTTGCCCTTCTTAGTGGATCCCGGTTCCTATTTCCGCTTAGATCATCATTACATGTCCAGCACTTGTGTTTTGCATCCTTGCGTCATGACATCATGACGGTATCAGCGTAATTATGTGGTAGCCAGAAGTTTTCAAACCGCCATTTTAGAAAGTCCATTGTAAACAGCAGTTGCACGTATAATACGCTAATATTAGAACATAAATTTGCATAAAAATCATTAAAAAAAATATTTATAAAATGGGGAAAAGCATTATAAAAAAATTACATCAAAAATGTGTAGGACGCATTGTGTAGGACCCAGGCAAATCTGGCAGTTCCATTTGTCGGTAAGTAAAATTTATTTTCAAACCAAAAAAAGTTATTGGAAACAATGATTTTGATACCTTCAATTAAAAATATATTTGCTCTGGATTATCATATTATCATATTATCATATTAGTTTAAAAAATGCCTAGTAGCCTCACATCGCCTCTCGTGTTGAATAATGGTGTAGAGGCTACTGACATCACAGGTTGCCATAATAAAATCTTCTTCCCACTTAAAATCATAAAAAATCTGTAATTAAGTAATTGTGTCTTTTAAATATGAGGGACATTTTTTTACAGAATCTTGTAAGAATTGATCTAAAAATTGGGACGGGGGGATAAAACCAATACCTGAAACGATTGGTCTTCCCGGGGGATTGTTAATATCCTTATGGACCTCGGGTAAAATATATAAAACCAGAATACTAGGAAATTTCACATTTAAAAAAATCATATTCTCTTTTGTTTAGAATTCCTTGTTCTAATCCTTGGTCTAAAAACGTTTTTGAAATATAATTTTAATATCCTCCAGTGGAATTTTGGGAGTTCTAGATATGTCTCTTTGTCATCTAGTTGGTTATATATCTCTTTCAAATACTTTTTGCCATATAACTACACCTCCCCCCCATGTGCCGATTTAATAACGATAGAAGAGTCCTTCTTGAGATATTTTAACGCCATACCTTCTTGTTTAGTAAGATTGCTGTAATAATCTTTGATTGGTTGTATCATTTTCAAATATTTTACACATAACTTTTCAAAAATTTTCATCGCATCAGACTTTAGATAACTCGGATAAAACGCTGACCTCTTTTAAAAGATGTATGTTTAAAATTATTATCTTCTGTGACTTTCAAATCAATATTTTTGGCTGGAAATTTATCAAAAAATTTCTTTAAACACAACTTACGTAAAAATTTGTTAATGTCTAAAATTATTCAAATATATCAATCTCACAGCTTGGGGCATATTTAAATCCTTTATTTAAAACATATTTATGTGACTCAATTAAAATTTTTATCTGAAAGATTAAAAATTCTTATGTCTGTTGAAATCTCTTTATTCCCTCCTCCTTCCTTCTTTTCTCTTCCTTTTCTGTTTTCTATTTCCTCTTCTTGTCTTACTCTTTTTATTGGAGTATGCATCTTTGATCTCTTTGCTACTCTGGTCATCCTCTGTCCTAAAAAAATCCTCTTTATTAAGATGTTGGAGTTGATTAAATCTATTCAACAAGAATATCAGTTTTTGGGGGTGAAAAAAAAGATTTAGGATCCCTATCATGGTGTACCAATCTTTGGGTATTCTTTGATTTTTTGTTGTTGTTTTGATTTAACTTCAATCCATTCACCTTTCCTTTTGTATTCCCTCATTTGTCGACTTGGGGATCTTCTTGGTATTGGAGATCTACTTATAGAGAGCTTCCTATATCTTTGGGGCATTCTTGTTTCATTAGTTGTTTTTTTTAATTGTTTTTAGCATAGGCATTTTCCCTCTTTTTAAAATTCTTATTTTCCTTCTGGGGTCTTATTTTCCCTCTCAAATAATCCTCTTGATCTCGTTTCAATTTTCTTTTTTTAGTTTCAATAACTGTCTTTTCTATATTTCTCACTTTATCCATAAGATTCTTGAACTCTTCCATTTCTAAGAAGGGCGCAAGTTTCATCTGGATATCTTTAATATCTTCCTCTATTTGGTGTAGGGTAAGTGTACGTTGCTCTATAATAATCCCTATCATGTGCATGGCAAATGACTTAAGGGCCATATCCCAAATTCCCATGAATATATTTTTCTCTTCTATGAATTTAGGGGATTTGTCTAATGCATAGACCTCCCATTTCAATTTCATTTCTTTGATCAGGAGTCTTCCTAGATGTAGACATATCGTATCTAGGTCATCACTGATCAAGATGGGAGAATTATTTGTTTTTCTTTTTCAATTATACCAAATTTCTGATCCATACCACTCTGCCAACTTTTACGTAAACTTGAAATTGACATAGTGTAATTTTCAACTATTCACAACCGGAGTGATAGAAATAATAACAGTTTAAAGTATACAATAAAGTAAACAATAGTCCCCGTGGGTTTCAATACATTGGCAAAACATCACGGGCTCTTAAAATACGTATTAGGGAGCACATTAATAACATTAATAGGAAATTTTGCCAACATAGTGTATCCAAGCATTTCTTGGAAGCCCATGGTGGGGATGCCAGTGGATTGGAATTTATGGGAATAAAAGGGCTTAAAACACACTGGAGGGGAGGAGATATTGAGAGTCTCCTCAGTATATCCGAAATGAGGTGGTTTAACATTGACACATTATTACCTCACGGATTAAATGCAGATTTTGAGATCAATTCTTATATATAATAGTTTCAGAAGTGTTTCATTCGATCTCACTTTTTTCCCCTCCTTTTTTATATAGGTTTCTGTGATTTAATGTATTTTAAATATTCATGCCGTTTTAAATTCTTACGTCCTAGACATTTTTGATGAAGTTTTTTAATAATGCTTTTCCCCATTTTATAAATTTTCCTTCCAATTTTCTCCTTTTCTCTTAATATCCTGCTGTAATAAACAAAATATTTTTATTATCATTTTTGTATGATTTTTATGCATATTTATGTTATAATATTAGCATATTATATGTGCAACTGCTGTTTGCAATGGACTTTCTAATATGGTGGTTTTAAAACTTCTGGTTACCACGTCATTACGCCGATACAGTCATGACGTCACGACGCAAGAATGCAAAACACAAACGCCGGAAGTGTATGATGATGTAAGCAGAAATGGAAACCGGGATCCACTAACTAATCACGGAGGAGAACAGAACTATGCGTCAAGTGGCAAGCAATCAGTGGACTTACCTTGTTTTTATATATTTTTACATCTTTATGTTATAAATAATAAATTGTGTTTTTTACCTTGATCCTACATCCTGGATTTTTGAAGGTAACCATTGATGACATGGCCGGGAGATATCCTGACTATAACAGGAACCCACTGGAGTTGCTGTATTCTCTGCTTTATACTTCTAGTCTGAGACAACTGTATGTGTAAACTATATTACCCTATGGTCTCTATTTCTACTTTTTAGGATTGTATCCATATATACTTGTGATAACTTTATAACTTATTGAGTATGCTCACTATTTTATTATTTAACTTGTGGGATCTAACTGTGAGAGAGTCACCCTTTATCGGTTAGTGTTATGCAATATATAAATATAGGGTGAAAGTGTTCCTGGTCACAACCTTTTGATCCTATAAACAGTGGGCATTTTTTTATATCGGGGGAAGCTAAATATGTGCTAAAATAATAGTAAATAAAAAAAAATAATAATGAAAATAATAAAACCAACACACACAAATATATATGTACAAATAATTTTGTGTATTTACACACACACATATTACACAAGTGCCCCTTAATTCCATATTGGTTTGCAGTTGTTGTCTTGAATGGAGAAAGCAGGAGAGTGCAGGGGCAAAGGTGGGAGTCACCGACATACAACGTTCAATTCCTTTCCAAATACGCTAATGCTCTCCTGAAACCTAATTTCATAATTTACTGGCAGCCGAGATGGCAGGAAATAAAATAATAATTTGTGGACTCTGGACAACAAACTACGCTTTTCTTCTCAAAAGGTAATTAGCCCCTTAAAAAAAAAAAAGGAAAAAGAAACGACATCTCATATTAAGCTAAAGTCTCATCAGAAGAGAAAGAGGTCCTCATTACAGGTAATTACACAGAAATTAGAAACATCATTTAACTAAATGAGTGAATAATACTGTGGAGATTGAAGGAAACTTGGTACACTTCTGCAGAACACTCTAAGTCGCATTACAAAAATTGCTCCTCTTTAATGGAATAATTCCCTTTTTCTCGTCTGCACAGCTTTCAGAAAAACTGAAACTGCAGTCAGAGGGAGACTAAAAGGAGCTGACATGTAAAAGCCATCTCAGCAGGAGAGTGGGATTATAAAGAGCTCGTCAGACAGCATAATGAGCCAAATTAAGCTAAGGGCTGTAAGAAGGGAAAAAAAGAAGAAAAAAAATGCAAGCGCGTTTTATTATCATTATTATGAATATTGGGCTTGTTCAATGAAGAATGCGCTCCGGAGGCTGTGTAGGAGTTGGACGGGAAGATGAAGCTGAGAGTCAGAGGTTATATCTGCCTCATAAATCAGAATGTGGAAAGTGTTTTTGACCCTGTTACAATGGCAATAAGACCGTAACGAAGTTAAAAACACTACATCCTGACATTTGACCAGTTCTCTACTGTGCGGAACTTGGGCAAAGTCTTGATCATTGTCTTTAAATCTACTTTTGTTAATTTATTTATAAACACAACCCATTGGGCAATAAGAAATGCAAAGTTCCACTCTAGAACCAACTGGTCTCAAATCAGACAGGACCAGTAACTGTAACAATTTACAGAGAGTTTAATGACACAATCTGTAAATTCTAGGTCATTACTTTTAAAATGTTGGTTGATCACCCGGTCCATCAATAGAGAGATGCTATCCTAGTATACGTATGGTTGGTGTGACTGAAACTGTCATTGCCAAAGGTTACCTACACCTGGGCTATACCATCAGAGGACAACTGTAGTACTCTAATGCCAGTGTGACTAAGTCTTTGTTTTGGGTTGTACTAACTGAGCCTATACAAAAACAGAACAATTCCAGAAAATTTAGGCCAATAACCAAGACTGTAGTGTTGGTCACATTAATTGCATCTATACCAGGAATCAGTGGACAAGACTAAGGCCTACAGGGGTGTTACTAGGGTCAAACAACATTCAGGACTTGTGACCAAAAATTATTTGGTGACCTATTTTTAAAGCCCCACTTTGTCCCTTCACATTTCCACCATTTATCACATCTCTTGGCACACTCACTGTTACAGACACACACAGATACACATACACACATGGACACAAACAGACAGAAACACACACCGACATGCATAAGCACACACAGGCACAGACAGACAGCAACACATGCATACACAGACAGGCACACAGAGACACTGATAGGTAAGCACGGGCAGTTACACACAGACAAGTACGTCAGACACAGGCAAACGCACACAGACACAGATAGGGACACACAGACAAACACACACAGTCACAGACATGTACACACAGACAACCAAACAAATGCAAGCACACACAGGCACAGAAAGGTGCACACAGGCACACACACAGACAACCAAAAAAAGACAAGCACACACAGGCCGGTCCTGCAAACAACCATATATATCAAATGCATTTTCTTCCTACCCATTGCTCACTTATTAATGTCCACCTTACAGAGTGCAATAAAAATGAAATGGATTGTACCACTCTATCTCTCTGAATTAGACTGTGGCTCTCAGAATTTCATTCAAAGTTGGGGGAAAGCAGCATTGATCTCCTTTGCTGTCATGATGCTCTGCTCTAACTGCCAATACCAATCTCCTGAGTAAGGCTCAGCCTGGGGTGGAAGAAGTGCCGTGCTGCTTACCCTCTTGGCCAACTCCTAGACTCACTGAGGAGACAAGGAGCAGGCATGGAAAGCAGAGCAGGTAGGGACAAAACAATCCAAGGGTGAGGGAACCCAGATTTGGGGGCTCCATCCCAACTAACAACAGCCCTGGTGGCCTAGATCACAGATGCCACAGAACTTGTGCTTATACCAGGAGAGTACAAATGATATATACAAATAAATAATGTCTAGTAACTCATTTTAATTGTTTTTATTGTATCCAATCAGGAAAAACCTTAAAAACTGTGTTTTGTTGAGTTTCCAGAACAAATTAAGTATCTTTGTCCCTGACGTACACTATGTGATGAGCTGAGCAGCTATCTATGCGTCTAAAGTCTATGTGGTCCCATGCTCAATAAAATTGTGTTTGAACTGAATATATGTTCAAGTGTTAGGGTGAAATAAATAGCTATAAGAAGTGAAAAAAACATGAAGTCTTAACTTAAAAATGTCCCCTTCATATCGATGTGGAGAGAGCAAATCAGTAGCAATAAGTCCAACCTTTGCTACTGAATGGTTCATCGTATCCAGCTACCTATAGGCAAATCCCACCACAAAAGAAGATATTGAGATATTGTCCCTCTGCATGTGCAGGAAGTCGCTTGGGTGTAAAAAGTGTGTAGTACGAGAAATTGCAACAATAGCGCATAGCCTGTTGCAAGTCGCAGAAAAGCCTTAATTGCATGCAACAGAGTAGAGATGACATTCTCAAGCTGTGATCGGGTTCAAAATGCTTTTTACTGGTAATGGAAGAAGTAATTTCTAATTCAAATATGTAAGAAATGTAGAAAATCCAAAATCTTCATGAAGTTCTCTTCCCCCACCTCCAGCCTGTCAGCAAGTCTTTAAACTCCTACAAAGGACCTCTTCAAGTCGATAGACAGACTTGCTCCAGATCAGCAGCCACAAAATGTTTCTATGTAACTCGAGACTTTAACCTAGCAAATACAATTCCCTGATATTTTCTCTCTTCCCCCCTGGTCCCCTCCCCAGACTGAGGACTTTAGGACAATGCCATCTTGTTTTACTGCTTCACTGCATGGCCTAGCTCATGAGGTAATTACCTGGCTATATCCTCACCTTTATCGGCACTTCCGATGTTACCGTTGATCCTCTGATGTCTTTATGATGGTTATCGCTATGTTGGGTCGAAAGGGCAAAGGACAAATGCGCACTAGTGCGCTCCTTATTTTTTTATTTTAGTTTTTTGTGGAGGGGGGGTTTA